CAGTTTTTGGGGAGCGCTCTATGTAACGGGCCAGTCGATTTGGTTTTACAAATTAAATACCTGCAGTAACATTTCCTCTTAGAGTGTGTCTGCTGAGTGTTTTTGTGTTATTGCTCTGGAAACTATTTATTGTGTCGGCAGAGTTTCTACTTGGAGTGAATGTTCCCCCGAAGAGCGCGGCGTTTATTCTCTGTAAACACAGACTGTCGTTTTCCAAGTGTCCTTTGTGTGGCCTTCAGCTCGGCCTTCCAGATGCCGTCATCATCTGAGAACATTTGTAAAGACATTTATTGGAGAATAAAAGGAAACGAAACAAGCGGCTCCTCTGTTGTCTTTATTTCTGCTTCACCTCCACAAACATCTAGCACCGCCCTCCTGACGGGCTGAGTGCTGAGAATAATTCCAGTTTAATAGTCCCGAGAGAAATCAAGCTGAGCGCCGTGTCAGTCTTTAAACCAGAAATGCTGCCAACATCAGGAGGTAAAACTGCATGAAGCATCTTCTCGCCCGACAAGCAACCCAAACTCTGCCTTTAACACGTGAACATGAGGTAACACTTTCATGCTCATTCTTAGTTTTAGAAAACTCTTGCACTCGCCTCATTTCAGTGCAGTGATTTATTGAAGTGTAGAAACAAAAATGTAAAATACAGAATATAAGGCAAAAACAGTTTTGATGTAAGTACCTTTATTCTTCAGTCTGAACTTTGTCATCTCTGTGTCTGCAGGATATGATCTCCAGGCTTCACAGCTCTTCTTTGGATAATTCTGTTTTACATAGAAACACAGAACTATCAGGTGTGTTTTTACTGCACTGGCAGTGTGTTTGGGATCATTGTGATGTTGCTGCTGATCAGATGTGTGTATGTTCATAATTCATCAGTTTTAATAAAGATCACCTGATGACCTGTACATACTGAAAATGATTTCGATCCATCTCTCCATCAGAAGTTTTCCTCTGATTTTCAGTCCAGTTGTGTCATTTTCATAAGTCTGCCTTTCCCTGACACTTTGTCTTTTGTTTGTTTTTGTCCTCCATTTGTCCAGTTTACTCAGCTTCTAAGGACAGTGCACATCATGTATTGTTTTCAGTTTGCTGGTGCAGAAATATTATGTCAAAGTGTTGTTTGATATTTTAATCTAAACCAGTGTTTCCCAACATATAGGAACCACGGCACATATTTCACATTAACAAAAAAAATAATAATCACACGGCACACCACCAAACAAATGTCACAAAACGCATATTGATAATTTTTCCCAGCGCTGCAGCAGAATCGGATCGATTTCTCCCCACTATACCAATTTTGCTTTCTTGTGACCACTACTCATGCTATGGGCTTATCTGGGTTGGAATTTTCTCCAGGACCTTTTTTTTCCCCAAAAAATATTTATCTATTGCTATTACGCCCTCACTATGTAATTTCTTTGTCGCCTGTTTTACTGGCAGTTTGCAACCCATTTAATTAGAGCAGGTAGTTATACTGCCCTCTAGTGGAAGAGAATGTAGTTGTTCTGCCCATTACACCGGTCACTTAAAAATCAGGTGGAACCAGATAATCTTCCACTGCATTTTATTTGGCAAACAGTGATCTAAACAAATGAGTCGTCTATTTCGTGTAGACACGTGAGTGAAAGGTCAGCGTTGTGTTTTAACACAAACACACTCCTGTGAACACTGTCGAGTATAAGACCTGGAAAAGCCGCCAGTGTCCAAAGAACTTTCAAAGACCTTCAGGAAGACAAATGTAAAGAAACAGGCAGTGGTTCAAGACTTCTGCACACTACAGTTCCAGTGGTGGATGTTAACATGGCCAGTTGAGGTTGGTGTGTGTACAGTAATCCCTGTGATCCAAGGCTTCTGAGACAGTTTTTTTTCTACTTTTGGAAGGAAAGTGTTTTTTTTTTTATTTTGGTGCCCTCATTACTACAGCCACACCTGGTCCTCGGCAGGCTTCCAAAAGCTGGTCAACCAGAAAAAACAGCTTTTGCAGAGGGTGTATTTAAAGGGGGAGGACCTAACACAGCATGTTTACACTGAAGGGCTTCACCACAGCTCAGTGTAACTGTAGTAAGTCCACCTTAATGACCTGTGACTGTGGGGCTGAATTCAGACGACTTGACATTGAGGTGTTTTTCTGCTAATGTGTATTTCAGTAAATAAATGCAGGAGAATGTACAGAGAGTCTGGAAACAAAGGAAGAGACAGAAACATGCACATTAAGTGTGTCTGTGTACAAAAGCTGTGATGGAAGCATGAACACGTCAACAGAAAGTTTAACAAACTGCTTCCAAAAAGGCTGTAAAAGCGTTTTACAGTGCAAACCGTCACAGTCCGTCAAACGTCTCTCACTTAAAGCGCTTGTTAATCAGCGTGGATACATTCAGCTGGAGATCTATAAACTACATCAAAAACACTGACACAAAGAAAAAGGTGCAATACGACACGGAGGAAAACACTCTGAGCGTCGATGGCTTCATCTGAGAACAAACCAATACTGATGACATCTGATCAATAACACCAACAGCTGATCTGACTCCACCCTCAAACCTGAAAACACCAGGTGTTTGTAGTACAGCGTACATGCAAATCATTAAAACCTCAAAGTGTATTCTCGAAAAAAATTTTTTCCAATATCTAAAACTAATGTTAATAATGTAAGATGATAACATTACATCATTTTATCACAAACTTTGGATCAGAGTTGGAGTTTTTTCTCAAGGTACGACTTACTTTAAAAACAGATTCATTTTCCTTTGAAATTTTAGAGTAAAATTGATTTCACTTTTAGGAGGTTACTGAGATTTTCTCCATTCAGGAGGTAAAAGCAGTTTTCTTTAAATAAATGCCCTTAAAACTAAAATTTTTACTTACCTAGACTCAGTTCAATTTTACCCCCCTCCCCTCCTTACAGTGTTGAATTTGTTCCAGTTTTCTTAAAACATTTCTCAGCTGTAACTTTTTCCAACATCCAAAAAGATTAAGTTTTCACAGGAAACGTAGAAAAAGGAGTCGCTGTGAGTCACACAGAGTGATTCTGATTCTGGTGTTCTGATGATGCAGGTGAGGAGCAGGTGACGCTTCGAAGCCTGGGCTGGTTGGTGTGTCTAAAACGTCTCACAGGTGAGTTTAAAGAAACAGGAAGTGAAAAGAGGAGATGTTACACAGTCAGTGTGTTTAAGGCTTCGGGAGCTCAGAGGGACAAAAACCGGGAGTCACTTTAACATCAACAGCCGGCTGCTTCAGTTTCTTTTGTTCCCTTAAAGTTTCGTCTGGAACTTCAGCAGTTTTTCAAGTCTCGTCCAGTTTCAGCCGCAGGTTTGAAAATAAATCTGTAAAAAGTAAAAGCTGGTTTTTATAAGCTGCTTTTTTTCTTTTACCTTTTTTCGCTTTAGTGAGTCGACGTGAAAAGTCGAAAAAGTGATTTCGTATAAAGACGAGGACACGAGGACGGGGTCAAATACTGAATCATGGTTCAACAAGTCCTACTGAAATGATCCCAAACTGAACATGTCATCAGAATTAAAGCTGTATCTGTATTCAAACTCGTTTTAATTTGAACTTTAAAGTAGACTCAAAGATTTTGGACTTAAAATTTTAATTTTAGTCAAGTATTTAAATACTGAAATAATTTTGTGTAACAATTCATGAACTGCAATTTTACAATAGGTTTTATTTTTTAAAACTGAATATTTTTAATGAGCTTAATGAGATAATGCAACACAAAGAAAACTCATGGCACAAACTTGTGAAAAATCTTAAGTTCTAAAGTTCTTTTTAAAAAATTTCCTTCAGCGCTGACGATAAATGCTAGTATTAAAAACACTTGTCATAAAGTTACCATTAAATGTCATAGACGGGTTGCTTTCAATCATACGTACATACAGATAAAAGTTCAAACTATTTAGTGAATACTCTGGAGTGTTGGAATAAAATATGAGAATTTCTTCATCAGGATTACTCAACGTTAGCGTTTATGATGTTGCACCAGTTAAAATAATTCAAGATTTCTCTCAAAATGACTTTAATAGATTCTCGTTTTGTTAGTTGGAAATTTTCTGTAAATTCAGTTTTATTCATATAATCACAACAAAAGTCGCCTCCAAGTGTTTCACACTGGAAGGTAAGACAGAAGTACAAATTTGTGAAAAACGCAGATATAATAACTTACATTTATAGTTTCACATCTTAAACTTATAAAATTCATTATATACAACGAAATTAAGAACGCACAAGATGAAGTTGGGTCTTCAGCATCAGAACTGTATTTATTTTCTGTATTTTTGGTTCATTAGAACACATTTACTCAGAAAATCCAACATGAAGCGAGTAGTGTTTAAATAAAGAGTTTTAGTGTCTGAAGGACTCGTTTTACTGTTTGCTGATCTTAGTGAATGACTGAGGTCTGAGTCATTCTGAGAGAAATCTTAAGCTGAAAATGTAACTATTCTTTAGATGCATTTTCTTTCAGAAGGGAAAACTTTCAACATAATGAACAAAAATGATTATTTTTATAATACGTTTTCCTGTAAAATCTTTGATGTCTGATAATAAAATTCAACAACAAATATAAATAAATATGAAATATTTCATGTTTTCTCTACAAAAACAGGGGAAAACTTGAATAAGTGTTGTGAAAATGTGGGTCATGTCTTTGTTGAAAAAATGATCATTCTTAGAATTATTTTTAAAATTTTTGTCTTTAGTTATAATCCTGTAAAATGATTATGACAGAATCCTTAACTGACTGTGTCATGTGACACATATCACATGTCGTTTGGTTTAAACTGTGAACTCAGAAGTGAAAATATTCTGATAGTGAAGCTGCAATTGTACAGGTTGGTGTTTTATTCTGGAGTGAAGCGACCACTTCCTGTATAAGTCAGGTGGATTTGACCCCGCCGTTTCCTCTCACACAATCACTGTGACCCAGAATTTCACCCGTGGTGGAGTTTAAACAAGAAGTCCACAGCGAGCCGAACAGGAAGTAGGAGGCGGTCTCTAAAAGCTCGACCTTTAGTCAAGGCGTCTGTGAGAAAAGCAGCAGGTATTTACAGACAAAAACATTCTTCGCTCTCATTTCCGGTCAGTTCACGCAGAGGTCATGTGATCCTGACTCCGGGCCCATTTCCGTGGAGATGGCCGCAGGAACCGAAAGAGTCGGAGGCACTTCTCGGATGGCTGGTTTGTTCGTCGTCCCTCTGACGCCGTTTCTGCGTCTCCGGTTGAAGCGGCTGTTTGGTTGCGGGTCTCGGTCAGAACACCGGGGGCGCTGCTGTTGTCTCGGTGGCCTGATGCAGGAGGCACTTCGTAGTGATGCTTTGAGTCCAGCTATGCTATGTCATCAGGATCGGCTTCTGCCTCACCTCCAGGATGTCTGAAACACACAGACACAATAAATAACAGAGCGCGCACAATCCATCAGTGATCATCAGCACACATCTGCTGTCACTGACAACACAAAACAATGTTAATGATCTCCTGCTGGGCAATGAAAGACAAACATGATCCTGCAGATTATCCAAAGGCAGGTTTTATCCTTTATGTAACCCTCAATAGAATCAATATTATGAATTAATGAGACCTAAAATAAATTTAAAATGTCATTCTTTACTTCCTGCAGTTCCCGCAGTGTCCCTGCAGAGGGTAGTAGGGCACTGTGGTGCTGTGTGAGACCTCTGACCTGTGGTGATGCGGTGCAGTGGCAGGGTGACGTAGGTCAGGTGTGAGTACAGCAGGAAATAATCCTCTGCCCGGTTCAGTTTGAGCCACGAGCCGACCAATGAGCGCCCGGTGCCCGACAGCGAGCGCGAGCGGAGGTTTGTGGTGGTGTGAAGATCTGAACACAAAAAAAAAATAAAATTGAAAAAAATGTTATTAATAAACCAATTTTGGTAATGCTCTTAAATGTTTTACAGAGTAAATTAAAGATTTTTGCCCACTGAGGGTTAAAATTCAGCTTTAAGTAAAACCAGAACATGTCATGGCGCCATTTTACACTTACTGTCATTAAATTCTCCAGCTGGGTTTCTTACAGAGGAGCAGGAAGTTTGCTTACTGGAGGTTCAAAGATGATCAGATATCATAGTGGCTCTGACCATAAACCGTGCCAACATTTGATCGGGTAGCGTTTTTTTCCCCATAACTGACCAAGCAACATCCAGGAACCCAAAGTCTGAATTCCAGGACGAGTTTAGTTTACTGAGCGACAACCGCACAGGTTACATTTAATTAACTTTACTGATCTGTTTTGAGAACTCTAGGTAGCTAGTTTGTGACACATTCATGTTTCTGGATCTTTGATTACTTCAGGGGGAAAAGGAGATTTTAAACCTGCTGCTGAGAACTGCTGTATATTAGAAACGACTGTTTAATGATCTTTTATTAATGTTGTGTTATCACAAAGAGACTCACAGCTAACCTGATTAATAAACTGAATTAATTCAGGAAAACTTTACCTTCATCTTCCTCCTCCCTGAAGAACTCCTCGCTGTCGTTGGCAGAGTGAGACTTCTTCATCTCAGCGATCCGGTTTCGAGGCATCTTGCGCCTCAGAGACGGCGAGAAGAAGGAGGGGCGGTTCTTCTCCGGGGTCGGAGGCGTGCTGAACGATGTCACCTGAGGAAGGACAGCCGGTTAGAGTCCACACAGGAAGTAAGATTTAATCACATGTCACCGAGACCTCGTTATACAGAAGTGAGACGGGGAGGCAGAAGAGATGTTTCACTGGCCGAAATCCTCAGTTTCATTTTATTCGTTTGCAATCCAACCTTAAATTCCCGATGTACTGTAAATGTACGGCTGGTGACCAGAGCAGGGACACGAAATTCTCTAAAACCCAAACTGTTTGTCTTGTTGGGAAGTTTCACATTAATAAAGTGAGTCACATACAGAGATCGGAATCATCAATCGAGACATTTAAAAGCCCCAAAGGAGCAAATGTTTGGTTTTTTGTTTGTTTTTAAAAACAGGGGCACAAATAAACCCAAGAGGAGGGGCTCAAAGAAGGTTTCATAAAGGATGGCATCATCAGCAAAAAAGTATACTTTGTGTTCAGCTGTAAAGTCTTATTCAAGTAAAAATATATATATATATATATCAGAAGGCCTAATGTCGAACCCTGAGGGACATCTTACTCTGGAACAGCAGAGAAATTTGGCCTTTTCAGGAACAACATTGTGGATTATATATTTAATAAAACATCACAGGAGTCTAGGCTTTTCTGTCTGTGGTCCACAGGTGATCAGTGGTTTAATCTGCTGATTGTGCATCATTGTCCTGCTGGTGATGGTGGGATGATATGCAGCTTGTATTACAGAGACACAAGCCAACCTGAGCTAAAATGAGCTAAAATTAATTAGCAATTAACTGTGTAAATATCCTAAAATTCACACCTGACCAGCACCAGATTCTTTGGTAATGAGGAGAAAGTTTAGCTGGAAATCAGCTGAAACGTTTTCTTCTACATCTCTGTGTGATGTCCTGATGTTCAGAGAGCTTCCTGTTGGAACGTCGGGCAGTTTGAAGTTTATTTGTGGGGAAGAGCTGCTCCAATTAAGCCGAGTAAATTTATTCCTTCAGCTCTCCCATCGCTCCTGTCCTTGTTTCAGTAAACACCGTCACATCCTTTGGTTTTTTGGTTCATGTGAAGTTTTTTTTTTTTTTTTTTATTGTTCAGATCAATAATCAAAGAGTGGATTCATGCTGAGCTCTCCTTCCAGCAGACGTCTCTGTGAGAGACACATCCGGCTGTTAAATGATGCACAGTCAGTCCAGCTGCATGTATTATTGATCTCGACCTGATTTCGTCTGAGCAGAGCTTTGTGCCGTTCGCTCGACTCACTTCCTGAGTTTTGGGGTTTTCTGTTCTACTTCTCAAAGACCTCGGACACAGAAGTGAAACCACACCAGTGGTTGCCCGAGCCGAGCAGGTTTTCATCACAGCTCTAGCTCTGTGATGGAGATGAGCTTCAGGTGAAGACCTTCAGATTTCATTTAAGAGGTTAAACTGAAACATTCAATTAGCTGCTGAGGGATTACAGTCCTCTGTTGTAACTGGACAATTCAATCAAAACCCTTTTAATGCACAGATGTGGAGATATGTGGACTGTTCATTCACTTTTCTTTTTAATGTAAGCAGGAACAAAGGCCTGCACATGATTACAAAAGTGTCCAAGGAACTCTGATAGCAGTAAAACAGACTGTTATAAAAGAGGATGGATTGATTTTATGCAGAATGATCCTTTTATCACAACATAAAGCTAAGCGTACCATATCCAGCTCTACTGTAAAGAGGTTTTATAGAGCAAGCACAGGCTTCAGTACAAGGTTCAAACTGTTTATCGGCCTCGGGGATGAAAGTGAGATCAGACTTCAGCAGCTCAAAAACCTATTTAACTGTAACTCCACCTGCAGTGTTGTTCTGTGGTGGATGGTCACACGAGCCTCTCTGTGGTAACTCGGATTTCAACCTAATCACAGCTGGTCTCATCCTCTGAAGAAAAACTCGGCTTGAGACATAAAGCAGTCCTCTCCACAGAGTATTACAGTAAAGTGCTTACGTTCAATCACATTTGAGGTCATGAACACAGCTGTTCAAAAACAAAACCTTCAAATCTGTTGTGGAGACATTCAGAGGAGAAAAATGAAAAATCTCAAGACCGAATATTTAAACTGCATCTTCTCCCTCACCCTCTCGTGCATGGGTGACACCTGGTCCTCCTCGGTGCCGCAGGGGGAGGTGTTGCCAGTCGGCACCCTGCTGACGGCCATCTCGGCGTGACCTTTGCCCTGCGGCCCCTTCATCCTCACAAACTCCATGTTGTTGTACTTGTAGAAGCCGAAAGACATCCGCTGGGCCATCTTAGCAGCAACGCTCACCTGAAACACGACACGGACGTCAAACTGCTGACAGTTGATTGACCCATCACACCTGAGAGCTTCAGAGTCTGCAGGTGTTCTTAGCCCAAGTGTCAAGACTTCATAAATGTGAGCATGCTAAATGAGAACACATTCACACTCCTGTAGCATGTTTCTGCTAGTGTAGTGCAGGTGTT